GCGCTACAACCATTTTGAGATTTGTAAGCGATCGTCATTTCTTTTCTGGTTTTTTTTTTTTTTTTTTTTTTTTTTTTTTTTTTTTTTGGGGACCACTTGGTCCATTATGCATGGCATCCTTATGCAGTGTTCGTCTGTACTCCCCTCGTGGCCCCTCACATTGTGCAGAATCTGCCTCTCAGCTCTTATCCAACAGTTCAATATTTTGTCAAACAGAAATAGATAATGGTGGATTGAGTGAAAAGGAAACTGAAAATGGAGGAAAGAAGAGCTTGAAGAGTGAGGTTGTTACGGACTCAGCCAGGGCTCGATACCTGGTCCGCGGGCCTCCACCCGCCAGGCTGTTATTTCATTTTTCTCCAGTCCCTGATCTCCGGTTCCTGACTCTTGGCGCCCTCTGCAGTTGGCCCCCGTTCTCAAATCCCGCGTCTGGCACTTTCGGATTTCAATACTTGGCGCCATCCGACATTCTGGCGCCCAGGCTCAGACCTGCGATTCTCAGAAGGCTGCACCTCGGCCCTCCGGACTGAGCCTAAGTCCGGTACTTGAGACCGGACTCAAGCCCCGCTGGGGCATTCAGTTTTCCGCCCGAGTGCTTGTGTGACTTGCTGCGACATTGTGTCCGGAACCAAGATTGTGACTTTGCGACTTTGCCACTTTGCCACTTTGCCACTTTGCCACTTTGTGTGTGTGTCCCGCGAGTCGTGTCCGTGTCGAGTCGAGTGAGTGTGTGTGTGTGCTCTCACAGATGATCTTACCATTGCGCACCATGAAAGGTACCCGTTATAACATTAAGGGGTGTGTGAGCACTACGTCCCGGTCTGAAGCCATGTGAATAAGTGGAAAAGCGGGGTTCATAAATAGGTTCTAAGATAACCTCATGCATGATGGATGACTCCAATCAGGAAGTCGCCCGATATCATACAGTTACGACTCTGGCAAGTCTCTTCTAGTGTCTCCAACCACTCTGGCCAGACCTTTTTGCTCGAGCGAGCCTCTACGAAGAAATGTGGCTCGAAAGAGCGAGCTGGGAGTCTGGATTTCGGAACCTGGATACCAGCCATTGCGTGGACCATTATGCTTTTGTTATGTTAATCGGGTTAACCACTAGGCTACCAGCTGGGCCGCCCGGGTCCCGGGTGGCCAGCCCGTGCAAGGACCAAGGAAGGTCCCAGCAAAAAAAAAAAAAAAAAGGGTTCAGGG